AACGAAAAGAACGACGGTTATTATACTTCTACCCGGTCCGTTATAAATACCCCGTGTAAACGTCTCGGTGACACTGGGCTGTTCTCCCCTCCATCCCTCCCACACTCCATGTTCCGGTACTTCCGCGGCTTCCGTTCTCGAGTAGTGACAACGGTGGAAACAATGAACAAGCCCGGGCCCTTGCCGCGGCAAACTTTTCCTTTTGTCCCAGTAACGCACGAGGTATCCAACCGCCGCCGTCGTCGTCGCCGCGTGGCGAACAAAAAGAAGTTCTTGCTCGGTTTACGACTAAACAATACTTTTATCTTTCGAAATACGCAGGCGTCGAGGCGACGGGTACCGAAGGGGGGAGGGTGGTTGCGACCGAAAGCCCCGGGGGTCGCCTAATTAAATTCGCCACGGAGAAGGGAAAGCTAAATGGGCTGCTCGCGCCACCGCCACGCGACGCAATAAACTTGTAAACGACGAAACAATGAACACATCCGCGCCGGCTACGAATTGTTAAGTTCATTAACGAGCTACGCCGACGTGCATCTTTAATTAATTCGTTCCAAAAGGGGGTCGTGTAGAATTGTTGTTATCCGACCGTCCAGGTCTATCCGTCAGGTTTTCGTTTAGCTACGGACCAGGTATAATAATAATCAGCGTTTTCTTTCTTTAGATTCGCATCCCGCTGGGTTTCTCTCGTTATATGACCGTGCTAATTATAGTCTGTTGCCGTGGCGATAAGAAGATGCCACGTGTTTCATAATGCTCGGAAAATATAGATTCAGGATTAAGGTTTACGACGGTAATTTGCGCGTCGAGTTCGCGTTGTTGCGCTTATGGAGCTCGCGGAGATGGTATTGCGGTGTCGTTCTGGTGAACGGTTGATGCATTATGGAGGAGGGATTATTTATAATTAACGTTTGGAGACCGTGGAGATGTAGATCTTCGTGGAAAAATTGTTGGATAATTACAATAGGTATGTGTACCTCGAACAGGGCTACCAGATTGGGCGGTTTTTCACAATTCGGTCGACTTTTGTACTAAAATTACAATTAATTTTTTTAAGAAATCGCTAATATATATTATATTAGTTTTTCTCCGCGGCTTCGCTCGCGTGGATATCGAGAATTTGGAAAAATTATTTCTCAAAGAAAATTTTGAAATTGAATTGTAAAAGAAGGAATTAAAAAAGAAAAATGGATATATATTATATTCATCCCTGTGTATTCGAACATCTTTTCGCACCCTGAAGATGAAGTTTCACAAAAATCCTGAAGTTGCTTCCCAAGCGTTTGAATAAGTAGCATTTTAAAGAAAAGGAGTAGGATATCTCATCGGGACTAAGAGATAGTAAAGATTCGCAGAAAATACATTTTACCCCTTTTCACCCCTTCTTTGGTGGATGCAAAGATTTCTACGTTAAATAGTAAGAACTGAGTGTTGCTGAGTCAGTCAGGACTTCTCTTATATACAGATATATTTTTCTAGACATAATTCACAATTTTCAATTTAAAAAATCCTGCGTTAACAGTACCTTTAAGATTTTTTTTACAATACTATTACGACTTCAGGCGATTCTAGATAACTGGATTTGCGAGAATTTCATGAGAATTCTGACTCTAGTGACTTCAAAAGGAGTCCATATTATACTTTAAATTGCAATATGTAATTTTTACAAATTACTCCCGTAATTTCAGTATTTAATGTCCACTCTGTATGCCGGGACCGCGCGTTAAGAGCGCAGGAGATCTGAGAAAATGAAACCGGAAGGAAATATACAATTTTTCCAGGAAACCGTCCACTCCGCCATTAATGTCGTACAACGTTCAGCACTCACGTCCGACGACATTTATAGAGCAATATACAGGCTATTCATGAAAAAGGTTTAAGTGCAAAGAAATACCAAACTTACAAAAAACAGTAGAAACAATATTCCTCGGTTAATGTAACAATCAATTAATTTCCTTCGGCGAGTAAAATATTACCGAAACGATTCGAATAAAACCCAACGCAGCACAACGATAAAAGAAAACTGAAACGCAAAATCCCGCGAAGAACCTAATAAGACCGTATTTCCTGCCGGGGACTCGTCATCCGGCCGATCGGCGTTTTATTCCCGTCAATTCCGCTCGGCGAAATTTCACAAAAGAAGCCTCTCTCCGCACTCGAGACAGGGGAAACGACGGCCAAGAAGTCTCGAAAGTTATAAAGCACGATTCGGTCGATGGCTACATGAATCAGGCCATTATCATGCAAACCTTAGAAAATCGAACGGTATCGGGAGACAATATTGCGCGTCGGTGGAGCAACGGGTATCGGATAGGCGGGTTGTATCGGTGGGTGAACGGAGAGAAAAGGAAACCGGAATGCCACGAATTTCGTTCGGCCGTGGTTCACGACAACGATGGAGCTTCACCGACAGGCCGAGCAATGGTATCGTAGTGTGGTCTGATAAAGGAGAACGGCCCCGATATTGGTCAGACAGTGGAATGCCCCCCGTGTTCGGGGTCGGACAAAAAGATTTCTCTCTGTACCCCGTACGCTAGTCTCGTCAGCCTTATATGGACCGTCGTCGAGACGGTGAGTGGGGCCAGGAAGGAGGAAGAAAAACGTCGAAAGAAATTAAAAGAAGAGTCAAGCAGATCGAAAGATTGCGATTGCTGCAACTACTATTAAGCGTCAATAGTCTGACCCTCATTGTCACGATCAGACGTTCCCCGCAACACGAGAGCCACACGCTAGCTTCATCCTTATCCGACTGTCCTGGGTCCGAGAACAAGCCAGTAAATTGAATTTCGGAGGGGGACGAACAGAGATGGAGTATCGAACACGCGTGTGGGGAAGAGAAAGGTGGTGCCCAAGCAGGTGCGCGCGAACGCGGACGGTGAAAAGAAACGAGATCGAGGAGCAAGCGAACCGGAGAGGGAAACCGAGGGCAAGAAGCTAGGTCGTCCAGGAGCGCGAAACGTTCGTTTCTCTTCGCAATTCAGCCACTTAATCGACGCGAGGATTGTGAAAACAAGAGGGGTGGTGTGTTATCGAGCGGGGTTAAACGAATTTCCTCTCCGTAGCGTACACGCGCGCGCGAGCAGTTATGGTTCGAAGACCGTCGGACGAGAGAAGAGTCGGATTGCCCGACCCACGACACCGGTTTCTCTCTATTTGTCGAATGAAATACGGGAGAATTCGGGCCCGAGGTGGCCGCATAAAACGTGCATTATTCTTGACGTTTTTCTTGCACGCGGATACCCTGCCGGGGACTCCGAGGGCGCTAAGCAAATCTATCCCCATCAGACGCAGGAGGACGTATCCACCCCTCTGTTGCCTGGCGATCCTTCTCGAGCCGCATAAAGGACGAGAACTGGAGGTATCTTCGAAGAACAATGAACCGGTGATTCTCAATTGTGTGCAGTGCTTGTTATCGCGAATCTTGTGGTAATATTTATCTAGCATGATTCCTGACGAAAATTGAACTCTGGTAGAAATGTCATTCGTCAAAATTAAGACGACATTCCCTATATATCTTCTTGTTAACTCCCTGTAACTCCCTAGTTAATACAAATGTGGGACACTTTCACAGGGTAAATTCAACATGCCAAACTAACACGAGAATCAGGAATGATGAAATTACATTCGAGGCTCGAATGAAATACAAAACCTAATTTCAATAGAGAAAAGTAGAACACTACGTAAACTATTATTCAAAAGACCAAACATTTGTAGTAACCCTTTATACAATAGTAATCGTTACCCTTTAGTGGAATAAAATTTCCCCAATCTTTCTACGTCTCCCGTTAATTCTGCAATCTCAAAAAAATAACCCTCCATTTCCAATCCATGTCCAATACACCTAGAAAAAAAAAATCTATCAAACGATAATACGACACGTTCCTCGAACAAAGCTCAATGTAGAACGCGATTCCTCGGAGGAACACCACCGACGATGTACACGTGAAATTAGTCAGAGCGGCGTGAAAGGGCGCCGTAGCCCTGAATCCCGCGTAATGCAAGAATTTTATGCATATTAATCCGCGTCACTTGGACCGGCACGAGAGCATCGCGCCTGCATGAATATGCATCTGGCGTAAATATTGTTTTTTTCCGCGCCTCCTATCCCCACCGCCGCCACTCACCTTCCATCCTTTTTTGCCACCCCCGAGAGGGTGGAGGGGGGCGTTGACGGACGTGTTAGCCGCCACCACCACTGCGGTTTTCTGGCCGCGGTTGTCTCCGCGGCGAAACGTACGTACACGTCGGAACAATGGGACCGCGGAGCGAAACAATCGGGGGCCGGCCCGCGTGACGCACTTCAACCCTCTTTTGCCGCGGCTCGCTGGAATCACGTATGTACCAAATGAACCCACCAGCTACAGCGGCGTTCCCCTCCTTCCCCCACCCCTGTCCGTGGACCATTTTTGTTTTTAATATCTCCCGTCCCACGTGGGAACAGGGAGCCAGAGTCTTTTATTTTCATTCGAGAGCTAGACCTACCCCCGGCCGTCCGCGGCCGCTCTTTTCACCGGCGAAACCTTTTATTTGTCAGCCGTGTTTCCGCGACTCATCCGACCGGCACGTATGTTACGCGATATTTAATTCCCCGCACCGGTTGTCTCCTTGAATTTCGCGTGGAAACGTTGCGGTGGACGTGCCCTGCGAATGGACGACGAGACAATTGATGGAGAAGATAGACCGACATGGTAGAATTTTTTCCAGGGATCGCGGATTTGTTTCTGACACCGTGGAACCACAATTTTTCCTGGGAATTGTATGCGGGAGGTCTCTGCGAGAGGAGATTCTATTGTTAATTTTCCACAGAATAGTACATATATATCGTACCGATGGAAATTACACTAACATCTTTACTCGGATAATAAATGATTCATATCATTTCATAATATCAATTCAACCTAAATCCACGTTTACTAACTTAAGTGTCCAGTGGCTCGTGAACAATAGCGTGGGTCAATTAAAGGGTTTAATTGGTATTAGGTAATAATGGCACAATGACTTACCGAGAACAACGAGCTTCACAGGTTTGCCGGCGAGAATCTTCCCCTGGTCGTTCTCTAATGTACAACCCCATATACCGTCGTCTTCCAATCTAACGTTGTCTATATGCAACGCCGCTGTGATAGAATCGCCGATATATCTGTGTCCAGTTCCACTCATCTCCGTTCTCGTGTTGATTGTAATCATATCCACCGGACTTCCCTCGTGAAGCCATGTTGCAGGCCGTATTCTGTAGCTCCTAGCAACGGAGTTCGTGCCAATTAGTGAATTAATTCGCCTAGAACCATGCCTACAACGCGTGATTATTGTCAATTTCATGTCAACTTTGTCATCGAATCATTCTAACCCCTTGCCTTATAACATCGAGTCAGAGACGTAGTGACGATTTTAAAATAAATTTAATAAACCTGTATATTCTTACAAGATATTCGAGTAATTTTGCACAAAGCGGGATGCGAGTACTTAAACGTTAATATTTGACTTTTAGGGTAAAGGCACCCTTGCAATAAGGACAGATATCCTTTTGTTCCCGAGAAATTTTTGACAGTAAAGTAATTCCAGACACCGCAGTCGTAAACGAAAATCGTAAGGGACGGGATTAATGCAATGAATCTGATTCTCTGTTATAGACGAACTTTTAAACCCCTTTCTATCGGTTATCATGAATCTTTATAAATCAAGGTTAGATCACAATTAATAGTCGTTCTTCCCGGTAAATTTCAAAACGATCCAATTCATTATTATAATCAGAGCAATTAAAGTATCTAAAATTACTCTACCCCTATTCGAAATATCCGTATTAATCGGTTTCTAGCTCTCAAAAAAAAAAAAAAAAAAAAAAAAAAACGAAATGAATGAAACTTTCTCAATTCACTTGGTTCGAGCACTGAAAGGACTCCACTTTCAAGGAAATCGTACACCCTCTTCTCGAATGAAAAGGTGAAGCGGTCGATGTATTTTCAACGTATGTAGTAGACGGAGGTTCGTAGTGGACGCGTGTAAGGAACGAAGTCGTAATGAATCTTCCAAGATCCGTTCATGTACGTTTCTATTTGTCAATAACCCTAAATTACCTGGCCCCGGGCAGCAGCAGCCTCGAGTAATTTCCTTCCAGCTCGCACGGTAGTATGATCTTGCTGTGAGGTTTCACCACCAGCTCCGACGGTGGCTTTGACGGGGCGGCGGCAGCTGTATCTAAGGAGACCGCTGGAGCATTGGTTGTAGCGGAGGAGCTGGTAGACCATAAGTCCTCTTCGGGGGCTAAAAGGGCCGCGGGCTGCGCCACGTCGTCGGACAGAGAAATCAACGTCGAGCTGGACGACGGCGTTGTGCTCGTGGTGCTTGTCGTGGTTCTTCTAGCACGTCGGCCACCCTCCTGTCTGCCTCGAAGGGTGAACACACCGGCCTCGTTTACCGATCCTGGAACAAAACGAGACATTTGTCACTCCGTTGTCAACGTTCCGATGTTCAATGGAGACCTCTCGCTCCACTTTGAAATATACGCGCTTGGACTCGTCTGTATACAGAGTGTCTCACAGAACTTGAAAATCTCCAATATCCTCGCTATTTTTTACTGTTACACAAAAAAATATAGGTAGAAGAAATCGTTCCTTTGTGACTCTTACGGTACTGTTCCAGACAAATTGACTCGAAGCAAATATTTGAGTCTTAATTAGATTTTTCGTTACAGAAATTTGTAAGTATATTAAGACTAACATAAATTGTATAGTATAGTAATGTACATAATATATAGTACAATTTAGTATAATACAGTTTATCATAAAATCCGTTATATTGTTGGGTTTGGTAGTTCTAGTGTAAATTTGACATCGTGTAGCTTACATATATTATAACCAATAGTAATATAATAGTTTGTTGAACAATGCACAAGGGTGAAATGAGTAAATATTTCTACGAAGAAATATTTTTTCAAGGTTATATTTTTCGAGATTTTAAGGTAATCAAGGTTACCATTAATGGGATATATTTTCTGTATTTTATTGTTATAGTTGACAAGAGAACGAGTTTAGGTCTGTATGATTTAAAGCCGAGACTTTGAGGAGACTGTAAGAACGACGATGCTTCTCACAAGCAGCGTCTCTTCTTGTCTAAATGGTATTTCCAACGGTTGGTCGATTTTACCGAAAACTGTCTATCAGGTTCGGTCGACCGGGGCTGTACGAGGAAAACTAATTATGACTTCGATGGACCGCAAATGGCTATAACTACCTAGCGAAACTACGGCACCCTGTCGACCCGTCTCTGCCCATCCTCTTATCACAGACTCCATAAACCGAGGAAGAAGATAATGTTTACCGTTCAACAAATGACGCCGGCACAGAAACTTCACAATACCGAAACGTTCCTCTCCGACGATCGCTACCTTGTTCGCAACAAATAATTATCATCTCCTGCGCTTCGTCTTGTTTACACGTGAATCGATCATCAACATGAATAACAGTGTTGCACGATATAACTAAGATCCTCATCTGTTAAATTACATGACTGGCGACTCGCGTCTTTCACGGTGTTACTTGACAAATTGGTGCAGACTACTGATCCGCATAGAAACGAAATATTTTCACTTTGTTTATAACTTCGAAACCATACGCAAGTCATACATCTTTGATTTCAAGAACCACATAAAAAATTATTTTAAAATTGTATTTATAAATAATACAAATCTGACTGGTAGGATGTCAAGGCTATTCTAAGAAACTGTTCCAAGAGCCACGTTGATATAGTACCTGCTCGAGTAATATTTTCGAACTAAAAAATCAAACTTTCTTCTTACCAACGAAACAATTCTACATGTAACATCTGTGAGACTTCAGGTAACAACCACAATCGTTAATGAATTCTCTATTCTCCTTCCAAAGAGCAACGAGATAGCCCACTTTCGCGAAGTAATTCGATCCCGTGTGAACCGGTGGCCCAAAAACAACGCTGGTAGAAGAGACCCCGGGTACTTATGACACGATCGCGATATCGTTCAGCGTCGAAACGACCCGTGTTCATCAACGTTCGCCGTTGGTACACCCAACTAGTTATACATCCATCGAGTGGATGTTGTTCGACGTTGATGCATGCATTATTCAGCCGGTGTGTCCATTCATTATTCATGTCATGATCAATGGATGTCAACAGACCTGCGATCTGTATCTGAATACGTCATCGTGACGGAAAGCGAAAGCGGCGCGTTCGCGCTTGGCCGTTCGAGCGCGTCCGCAGCGACAGGTCCCCGCGAGCGAGCTCGCTCGTTGGCCGAGTCATCGGCGAACTATCAGACTTTCCGAACGTTCGCGGAACGACGCGGCCACGCTCGACTTCCTCACAATAGCAGATTAACTGGCAATCCAATGGATCTAGTTTCTACGCGGGGGATCGATGGGGTTAACAAACGGACGCGTTAATTGGGAAATCCTAACCCCCCCCCCCCAATCCCGCTCATGGAAATGTATAACCGGGAACACGTTATTGGGACTGAACCGTTCGTTAGGTTCTATGGCGCAGGAGAGGATAGGGGGATAAACGAGAATTGATCCGAGTAGCGCGTTGAAATTGATTATTTTCGCGGACAGACGTATTTCGATTAAAACTCTTCGCCATTCGGAGCTAACGAATCCTTTGGAACTGTCATAAGACCTATCAGACAGCTTCAATTTAGAAATTCCAGGCAAAATTCTGTATTTATGATTTCTTTTGTTGTAAAGATAAATTCTGTATAATTAAATATCACGTAGATCGGTGGATCTACTGAACCCATTGAATACCAACTGATAAATAATGAGTTAAATTAGTAATTACTATAAACTAACAGCATCAGCATTCTATTCACGATATCCTCTGAACATCCGATAAAGTCCTTCCAATTATCGATCTCTCCAACAATCGATTTTCGTTTAACAACCCACCTGATAATCGACGTTCTACCTAGTAGAATTCCCTCCAAATCCACAGAAAAAGGCGCTTAATATCACCGTCACATTCTTCCCTTCGAACAACCAACTAACATTTCCAAACGATCCCGAGATCGTTCATTCGAACAGACCGAGCACCCGTTTAAATACACCTTCCTCGTGTTCTCGTGGAACGGTGGTCTGTAGAACGGTGCTGTAACAAATTCGAACAGATATATATATATATATATATATATAAATTCGCCCTGGTGGAGTCGGTTCTCCTTAACCGGTTTTCTTTACGGCGCCATTAAACCTTGAAATAAGTAGCTATTAATGCCTGTGACTGAGGCGGAATCGTATAGCCGGCGGGGGTTGGCGGCGACGAGAAGAAGTTTCCCAAAGTTCCGGCAGTATCACATGCGTTTCGCGAGACAAAGTTTCATCCCCCACTTCCCTAGTGGCGGTGGGTGTAGCTCGTGAAACGTTCGACAAATCTAGTATTCCGGGGGATTAAAGACGAAGTCGAGTTTCCGCGATCCCTCTTCGCAAATTACCGGAATTCCCCCGGGCGAACTCGCATATATCACGTTTGATGCGTCGCGAACAAAGGAAATCGGAACGAAAAGGGGTTTTCGGTTTGTGGAACGGGGTGCATAGTAAGGGTAAAAGAAGGGGATGTTACCAACCAAGTAAGGGTAGGTCGGACTCGCGAATCGTGTCCTCCAAGATTTCAGACGGTTCGAGGAGCGCAACGGAGTTTCGGGAAGGACTGAAAAGTAGTTTATCCAGTGACACGAGGTGACAAATCCTCTTAACCGCTTTACAACCCCTCGCATTGTCGCGACTCCCATGCATATATGCAAACGTGCCCGCATATAAAGACGTCACGGCGGCGCGTCTTTTCGTTTTCGTATCCCGTTCCAATTCACCGTGGATCCTACATACTTTCGTACCATTTCCGTTCGTTTGCTTGGTGTGGAGCCGCAGCTTATCTCGAAGCGAGAAGTAACGAAGAAACACGCGGTAAGACGCGTTTGCCACCCCCCGACATGTTCGGGGGTCTTTATAATTTTATGGATGATTGTAAGCTACGTTCCTCTCACCCCTTTCATCCCCCTCTGTCGCGACGCAAACAACAGCTTTTCTTAAGAATTTTACGACGGCTGTAAATGTCCCTGGTCGCGTTTCCGAGGATACCCCAGCTGGAAATGGGTTACCGTAACTAGGTTGGCTACGGGTTTTTGATTAATGAAAGAAAGCCTGGACTACTCCGTTTATCGACGTCTAATGCTACACGACAACCCCCAGGAGGATTTGCCGGTGACAGATTCTACGATTTTTAATTTATCCCCCGATGATTTTTACGGGTCTGATGTAAACGGCACCCAGGTACCGCGAACCGAAATCTATCGGATTGCGGTCACTTGCGATACCCAAAAGTTATTTGTACCGATCGTTTCGACTCCCGATCGAGTAGCTACGATGGTTCGAGCGTCGAGAATTAATGTCGGTGGTTCGAGCCACACGCGAAGTTTAATGGTACCGCTGCTCGAAGTTTATCGGTATTGATTTCCTTAAGTCTGGAAGTCATCGATATTGACTCTGGGCCGACTGGTGTCGATATCCGAGACCACGTAACTCGTTGGTACCAAATACAACTGAGTTCCACAGTTCTGTAACATATATCGCAGTTTCTTTACATATTCTATTGATTTCTTTAACTCTGGAAGTGATCTATACTGACTCAAGACCGAGTGCTCTTCATATCCGAGACCAAAGTACTCGTTGGTACCAAACACAACAGAATTCCCCCGAACTGCAGCAGACGTCGCAGTTTCTTTAGAATCAACTTGAATCCCCTTCTTTGCGCATTACTCCTTCGTCCAAGATACCCGAAACTTTCTGCAAGCTTCAAGTATACCCGGACGGTTGTCGAAAAGCCCGCGAAACGCCAGCAAAGAAACTCAAACCATGAAAATAGTTGTTGGAAATTGTCCAGAGAGAAAGGGAAAAGAAGAAAGAAAAGCAAGGGAACGAGAGCAAAAGAAACAGTGAAAACGTCAGTTTTGTGTGTATAAAGCGGTAAAGATCATAGACCGAGTCCCTGGAGCACGTCTACGAGAAAAATAAGAAATATAAACTCCGGGCGAGGGAAGGAAAAACGAGGGGCTCCAGGGGGGGAAGAATTGAAAGAACCAGGAAGGAAGAATTCAGTGGTATGGATGTATATATAGTGTATATGGCCGAGGGAATTTATCTTTCGTGGAATTCACAGCACGAACGTCTTTGATGGCGACCGGAGTGATTCTCGGCCAACCCACACCTCCTTCTATCTCTACAATCCCCACCCCCACCAGTTCTCCTCGTTCCGATCCTCTAATCTCTCTTCACCCTTTACTCCTATCCACGGTGTCATCCTGTACTAAGCCCCCTGTAATACCCTCCACCACGGAAACAGTTAAGGTCCAGTATTCGTTGTTCCGGTCCCCTTTTGCCTGGGCAAGTCCAATCACTACG